TGCGGAATTACAGCTACGATCACCACAGCTGTTGCTGTTTCTGTTGCTGCTGCTGCAGCTTCTGCGATAGCTATCACACAAACTGTACAAACTGCTGCATCAATAAATAATGTAACTAGACAAGTAGTACAAGCTTTACAAACACAAAACATTATTAATGATCATCTTAGAAATGGAATTCTGATACTCAACCAAAGAGTTGATTTACTTCAAGAAGAAGTAGACATATTAATGGATTCCTCTGCTTTAAGCTGCTTACAAAACTTACCAGGACTGCGTATCACTTCTATGCATTATGATAACATTTCTCGAACAGCAGATCTTTCCAGACAACTAGGAGCCATGCTTAATGGCACATGGAATGTAACGTTTCAAAATTTAACTAATCTATTGAGACAACAAATTGTAACTCTTAATAGTACCAGGGTATCTTTGCTGACGGGGTCATCAGTGGTACAATTTTTCCAAGGGCTTCTCACTTGGAGCCATCAATGGCTTGGTATTGTGGCATTTTGTATCCTTCTCCTCCTGCTTGTGGAAGGTTGTTTATGGTGTTTGTGTAAATTACACAGACAACAAAAAGAAACCACTATGGTCGTTAAACCGGCCATGATGGCCCTAGAAACAGGGCAAGATCCACAAGTATGACTAAATATGTTGGGCCGGTAGTCAAAGACGGGTAAAATCCAATTACAATGGTACCAACCTAAGCCAGGAGGCTGACAATTTGAGGTCAGACCATCCAGTGATGGGTAAGGACCATATGTAGTATTGGACTACCTAAGACAGGCACGGTCCCTAAACCACATACTTGTTGTTTAATAAAACAAAAAGGGGGAGATGTTGGATGCCACGATCAAGTCAAGATGGTGCCTGGTAGTTTGCCAGAAGGAGTGGTTTGTGAGGCAATGCCACCGAGCCATCAAGATGGTGGGGATTCCTTATTGGCTGATTGCTGTATCTGTAGGGGAGCAATGCTATGATTGGATGATGCTGATTGAGTCAAGCTGTATGTAATCAGTTAGATATATATACCTCTGCTGTTTCCGCAATAAAGCAGTTCCTGCTTCAACCTTCACAAGTTGCTTGTCACCTCCCGGTTATTTTGCCCAGCTGGACTTCGGCAATAGGTACCATTGCAGTCTCCATTGTTCATTGACCAAAGTCATACAGGGAGTAAGTACCTGAGCCAGGCTTCATAAAGAGGCCTGTTTGACTCCAGAGTTCATGCTCTTAATTCATGGTGAAGGAGACAAAGGATGTTATGAACAAATGTGATGATAGGTTTATAAGAGAGATAACAGAACTGCCAATCGTAGACATTGCCCTATGGTGGATACAGAGCATCATGGAGTTCAGTGGTAGAAAAGCACCTGCAAAGTAATGAACAATCATGATTTTTTTTTCTCTAGTACTAGTTTTGGGGTTAGTACTAAAGAACATGGCAGAAATTGTGAACCAGGGTAATATATATTCCATGTCAGGAAATGAAGGCCTAAGGTAGGAATGAGATTGTGTCTGAAATCAAGTTTGATTGAAATGTAGCACTCCTATTCAATGTATCACTCTCATTTAGTGAAGTGATAATAGCCACTATTTATTTTTATCTTTTTTAAAAAATATTTTTTTTAGTTGTCAATGGGCCTTTATTTTATTTATTTATTATGCTATGCTGAGAATCCAACCCAGTGCCTCACACATGCTAGGCAAGCACTCTATTACTGAGCCACAACCCCAGCCCCTATTTCTATCTTTTAATGCCAGACTTTTTTTTTTTTTTCTCTTTGATACCAGGGATTGAACTTACCCACTGAGCCACATTCCCAGCCCTTTTTATTCTTTATTTAGAGACAGGGTCTCACTAAATTGCTCGAGCCTCATTAAGTTGCTGAAGACGGCTTTGAATTTGCAATCCTGCCCCAGCCTTCTCTAGTTGCTGGGATTACAGGTATGTACCACTGTGCCCTGCATAATGTCAGACTCTTAACCCGTGTTATTTCTTCTCTTCAAGACAATGCTACAGGGTAGATATCACTAGACTTGATTCATAGATGATAAGGTGGAGGTTCATAGGGCAATTATGTGATGGAGTCAAGATTTGAATCAATCTTCCTGATATCACATTTCTCCCCCTTCTACTTTAATGTGCTGCCAAACTTCAGAGAGATGGAAAGCTAAGCTGGAACATACCGAGAAAAGTCTTGAAGGCTGAAGTGAGAAGTTTTTATTTACCTTGGCAGGTAGAGGTGGGGTAGGTACAAAACTCAAGCTGACATCTGGGAAGACTGCTACAATCTTTTGTGCAGTAGGAATGAAAGCCTGAATTAGAAGAGCACTGGTACAAATGGATGATAGGGGAGTGCATACAGAAAATATTCAACAGTGCTCCATTTGTGTTCAATGAACTGAAATGCATTCTGCTGCCATGTACACCTAAGTAGAACAAATAAAAAATTAAAAAAAAATTCACCAATGAGCAGCATACATCTGTAATCCCAGTGGTTTGGGAGGCTGAGGCAGGAGGATTGAGAGTTCAAAGCTGGCCTCAGCAAAAGCGAGGTGATAAGCAACTCAGTAAGACTTTGTCTCTAAATAAAATACAAAATAGGGCTGGGGATGTGGCTCAGTGGTAGAGTTCAATCCCTGGTACCTCGCCCACCTCCCAAGGGAAAAAAAAAAAGAAATATGAAACAATGTTTTTTTAGAGACTTAATGACCAATTGGGTGGGAGCAAGGCAAAGAGAATAGCATACACTATTTCTGAACTTTTGAGCCTCTTAGTTCACAGAAGGATGTACCATGATGGCCATTAACAGAAATACAGGGGCAGGGAAAGAAACTGGCTCTGTAGGGTTGAGTAGAGGGGAAATGATAAACTTCACTTGAGAGACAGAGTTCAGGAGGAGATGAGTAACAGATAATCGGAGACTTAGTCTAAAGTTTAGGACTAAGACTTAGTTATCCAAAGAGAGGCAAATGCCAAAGCCATAATAATCAACAAAGAGTGTAAAGTGTAAAAAAATCCAATATTGGTGTTTATTAAGAAGTAGGATGCCAGGCATGGTAGTTGCATGTTATAATCCCAGCTACTCTAAAGGTTAAGGCAGGAAGATAACAAGTTCAAGAAACTTAGGCCTTGTCTCAAAGTAATTTTTTTTTTAAATGAAGGACTGGGGATGTGGCTTAGTGGTAGAGTACTTCCCTAATATGCATGAAGTCGTGGATTCAATTCCTAGGAAGGCTGGACCTGGTGGTATGCACCTGTATTTCTAGCTATTTTGGAGGTTGAAGTAGGAGGATCATTTGATCCCAGGAATTTAATACCAGCCTGGGCAGTATACTGAGACCACATTTCATACTAAGAGGGAAAAGGACAGGAATAAAAAGGAGGCCATACTGAACATCTACCATATATCTAACATTGGGGAGACTTCCAAAGGGTAACAAGGCTGTTTACATTCCATTTCTAATCTTGCTCCAGGGATTAAGTACAGTTGTTAAGCTATGAACAAATAGTATAAAGCTTGATACACTCAAGAGCCAATCTGTAGGGTATAAACAGCAAGAGTTACAGGATGAAATAGGAAGGAGACTGATGTGTCAGGTATTTGGAAGGTGAAAGAGGAAAAAATCAGCACAAAAAAGTGGAAACTGAGCATAGTTTGATACCATTATAATGCTGCTACTCACACCATGGTAGAAAATTTTGGCGTTTTTCTCTGTTGCCCAGCAAGTAGCATGGGGAAAAAGGAAAAGCAAGTTTTGGAGTAAAGGAGACCCTAAATCTTGTATTTCCTTTTTACTAATGGTAGAATGTTGGGCAAATAGCTTAGCTTTTCAAAAGCATTTTCTCTTTTTCAAAAAAAGTGAGCATACTTACTAACTATGGTGGTTGTTTACATTGAGCAAAATAGCATACATGTCAAGGTTGGGGAAAACTAAATAACACTTTCCTTTTGATGTTTTTCTTGCTACCACTTGCATAGTTGGGATGTCCACATTTCCCGTTTTTCCTTCCAGTGCATCAGTCTACTCTTTACACCTAAAACTTTCTAACATCCACTTAGCTCCTATGCAGGCACAGCTGCAGGCCCTTTGAAGAGGACCCAGTTACTGCTTTCTGCTTTGACATGATCTCCTCGACAAACATGTATTGAGCACCTACAATGTCCTAGACGCTATGCTAGGGCCTACTGGGTATAGAGAGGTAAGAGAGACCTCTAAGTTTTCAAGGTAGTTTGAGTTTATTGTCGGAGTCTAGAAGGTGCAGCGATGAGCGGACAGCTTGTAAGAGTAAGCACCTAGTGGAAGGTGGTCTTATCTGCAGAAGAAATGTCCTTTAAACTAAGTCTTCACAGAGGAAAGAATTCAACATGCGGAAACGGGGAAAAGAAGAAAAAAGCTGTGAGAAAATATATTGATCCCAGAGGGGTTCTCAGAGCACATCAGTGCCAATACCTACTGGGAGGAAACTTCGTTTTTGCTTTGGAGTCTTTAGTCATTAGATTGCAGGCTAAACAGAACTCGAACCCTCGCGAATAAAACGGTCACAGTGACAGCAGTGGGTAACTGCAGCAGCCGCAGGACTGCAATTACTCTGAAACTGACTGAGGTGACGATTTATTTGGACGATTGGTGAAACATTGTAAACTCTCAGAAAGCTGCCGTTCCCAGACTTCGAGTTCATCCTTGTCAAGTCACTATCATGTTTTCTTCGCCGGGGGTGAAGTGCGCAGCCCACAGGCCCAATTAGCGTCAAAGGGAAGGGGGAGAGGCGGGGGAGTCTCCTCTGCGGATATACTTTAGCTCCGCCCGAGTTCTGCCAGACTCAAATTTCGCCACACCAAACATGGCTTCCTCAAGTTTCCGCTCCTTGCTTATTTCGCTCTCACCTTTTGGCCACACTCAATATGGCCCCAACACTGGGTTGCATTCCTGTGGAACCGTCTCGGGATAGTTCTCGCGAGGTTTGCCTGGGCCGGGACTGCTCCCGCCCTGCCCCGCGCCGCCGCCACCGCCACCGCCGCCGGCGCCGCTCCTCCTCCGTGTCAGTTGTTGGGCTGTAATGGCGACTGGGCCAACGCTGCCGAAGTGACTCCCGGGCGAGGGAGCGGGGCCAGACCAGCGCCAGAGAGAACTGCAGAGAGCCGCAGCTCAGGGGGTGGCTTGCTGTGGGGGAGGGGAGGCAGCCCTTCCGCCTCTCCTTCCTTCCCTGCGGACCGGCGGATCCCGGGAGCCGGTGCGAGGCGGGCGCCCGGTACGTCCCCGGAGCGGGGAGGCCAGGCCAGGCAGCCCTGGGGCCGGTCGGGGCGGCGTCACTGCACCCTCCGCCAGGCCCCGCGGGATGCACCGTGGGAGCCGAGGGCGGAGGCGACACTCTCAGGTGAGCAGGAGAGGACCTGGCTGGGACCGCGGACGCTGGCTCAGCCGTAGCTGCCTCTGTCCGCGGTCCCGGGTTCTCAGAGCTGGCCGGAGAGGCGGGGCGGGGCCCCCTGGCCCTGCCTGGCGTCCCCTCCGGAGAACCTTCTTGGGTCCCCAGGCTTTTCCGGTAGGGTCATTCGGAGACCTGGGTTTCAGGTCCCACCTGTGCCTTCTGTAGACAAATTTCCTTGCTTACCTGCGGAGTCTCCCCGACCCCTCTCTCGCCCTTCCTCTAGTCTGCATAGACCTAAGAACCTCTCACCTTTGGCCTCCGGAGAAGTGTTCCTTCTTCGTTTGGAGATTGAGCATATTTTGGGAAATTCCGGGGGACTGACTCCAGTGGTGGGGATGACTACTTTCTGTTCCTTTTCGGTGGGGGTAACATTCTCAAATACAGTGCAGGGAAAACTTTGATCTGCTCCAATTCAGAGGTTATAGAATGTAGTCTACCGGTTAATTCACAAATGATTTGGAGCGTGGCTTTAAAAAGCTTGAAACTTTGGAAGTTATCAGTATCTACCCCCACACCCCCGTTTAAAAGTAGCCCAATATACTAAGTGATATACAGTTAATATTGTAGATATGGGTTGGAATTTGCCTGGATTTTAGTTGCACATAGATGTAAATTTTAATGTTGTTTAAAGATAATAAGCAAATCCTGCATTTGGGAAAAAAGTAGGTTGTCAAGAATAGAGATCATTATCCATATACTCTGCTTGATTGTTTTGACAGTGAGCCTTGTTTTGAATTTGGAGAAGTCGTTAATGTTGCCATGTTAACCATTTCTCCTGGGCCTGTATTTTAAGGGTTTTAAAGGAAAGTCTGTTCTCAGGAACACCCTGAGAAGTTTTGTAGAAGCAATGATAATAAAATACCGCAAGATGACTTCTATTTAAAACACTTCTTAGTTTAAAATATTTTTAAACCAGGCAGTGTGTTGCGAATAACTTGGGATTGTGATTTTAGGCAATTAGTTTTTAGAATTACAGTAGAAGTCACTTCAAATCCAAGCAAGTAATAATTAGTTCTGATATGCTAAATTGACAAATTTCAGTGATATAAAGTAAATCAGAATGATTGAATTGTTATCACATCAAATTTAAGATACTTTAATAAGAAAAAATGTCAAGCTAGAATACATTGTATATATTGATAAATACATGTGTATCTCATCTTTTCATAGTCAGTAGCAGATCTTTGTAGTGATGGTGAGTTATACAAGTAAACAATTTATACATCTGTGAAAGAATTTCTCAGATTTTCTGATATATGGGTGTGTAGTGTTATGTAAGATGGCTAATACTTGGACAACCAGCCTTCTGTGGGGTAATCAATGTATGAACTATGAATTTTGTGATTTTTTTCTTTTTATTGCCAGTCTTTTGACCATTTTATATCACTTCTGTATCATGGACAGGAGAAAGGAGATGAAGTTCATATAAAAATACTTTGTATTTGTTAAATTACTGTGAGCTATATTGGGAGCAAAAAAGAAGCTGCTGTCTGAAATTTTTTTGTGTGTGTGTTCCTTCACATACTTAATTTATTTTGTGTTCTTGGCACTCTTGTGAAGGAGGTATGACAAATAACCTTACTTTGCAGTTGTGGAAACCATCACACAAGAATATTTATTTTTGTAAATGCTGCTCTTATTTCTACAGATAACCTAAAATTAGTTTTATTTAAAATTAACATAGATACTTCTGGGACTTGGTATTATTTCAAAGTATTTTTAAAAATTCTGCTTTGTTCCTTTTTACATACCACTTGTTCCTTATTTCAGTTCTTAGAAAGTATTAGTATTTTCATAGTTTTTTGTTAATTATTAATAAGTCATGGATTATTATAAGGGATCATTTTACTCCTCTATATACTTTTTGCTTAAACAAGGTTCTTACAAATTGTAGAGAAGCCAGACACTGTTGTGCATTCCTGTAGTCCAAGTGACTCAGGAGGCTGAGGCAGGAGGATTGCAAGTTCAAGGCCAGTCTTTGCCACTTAGGGTGACCCTGTCTCAAAATAAAAAAAGGCTGGGACTTTAGGTCAGTGATAAAGTGCCCCTAGATTCAATCTTCAGTACCATTTTTATTTATATTCTTTATTATATAAAACAAATATTAATTTGCTATGATCAATAGTGGCATAACTGAAAAGTTATGATCTTAGTAATTTTAATATAGAGACAACTGATGACTTAAAAGTGAACTTTAGAGTTATGATTGCTTCATTTTGCATTGTGGGGTAAGTTGTGAAATAGTTTTTTTCTTATTGACATTCTCCATGTCAAGCAATTTTTAATGTCATGGATAGTTAAAAAAAGAACCAAAGATTCTACACTGATGTTGCATGGTACTGATGTTTTGATCATTATTATAAGTGTAATTTTATGCTTACATGTGGGTATTTGGGGTTATTATTTGCCTTTTATATCTGCTGTGTAAATTCCATGATGGCAGAAATCTTTAATTAACTATTATGTACCTAGTGCCTAGCATGTAGTAAGATAGTCAATAAATATTAATTGAGTTAATTGACTGCAGAGTAGTCCTAGGATAATATTTAAAAAACAAAATAAAAATCTAGTTCTTAGTTCTTAGGCACATTTCAGATCTTAGGAATATACTCCAGAGGTATGTTCAAATTGCTAGGTATCAGGGGAATGACAGTCTAGGATTAAAAGCCACTGAGAATAAGCCTCAGGTGGATCCTGAAAACTTTATTGACTATTTTAATGATTTGCCTAGCTGCTCTGGCAATTGTTGTTGTAATTTAAAGAAAATAGGAGGTTTAAGACCCTAACCTGTTATACTAGTACTATAATTATAGGCTTGTAATGACTTAAAGTCACTTCTTAATCATCACATTAAGAACTTTAAATCTTAAAGGCCACTTAGACCAATTCCCATGTTTTATACATAAGAAAACAGAGGATCTTATAGGGGAAATATCTCACTCTTAGTTGGTTTCATAACAGGAAGAATCCACTAAACAGCTGCTAATCTGCATTTGTTTAATGTATCAGATAATTATCTAATCAGAAGATAATTGCATTCAACCTAGAAGTCTATTCTGTATTAGTATCAATTAAAAATTCAAAGTGGATCATTTCATGAGTCAAAAAAGTATGTTAACTTAAAAATGAATTTCAACCCTGTCCTTTGTCACTGGGATAAGTTGGGACAATTGGAACAACTTTCTGGGAGGAAATGTGACATTATTTATCAAAATTAAAAGTATACATACTCTAATAGAATCATTTAATTTTTAGTTTATCCTACATAAATTTTAACACAAAAGCACAAGAATGTTCATTTTAGTATTATTTCCCAGTGTCAACATTTATAAATAACAATAAATGCCCTAAATGTCGATTGATAGAGAAATGGTTAAAATTACAGTATATTTATTCTGTGATCACTCTGCAGTTGCTAATAAGTTTGGGGATATCTAAATTTACTTAATGAGAAACAGCTGAGTGTATTGTTCTGCATATGAACTATGCAGCCGACTTTCTGGGTTCAAATCCTAACTGTACTAGCTAACTGAACTGGCTGTGACCTCATCTATAAATTTATTTTTTTTAAAGAGTGTTTTTTTTTTTTTTTAATTTTTTAATATTTATTTTTTAGTTATCGGCGAATACAACATCTTCTTTTTTTTGTATGTGGTGCTAATGAGGATCGAACCCGGGCCGCACGCATGCCAGACGAGCGCGCTACCGCTCGAGCCACATCCCCAGCCCCTCATCTATAAATTAATAATAATTCTCACAGGGTTGCTGAGAGAACTAGTTGAGTATTTATACCCCGAGTCAGCATAGTATGCATCATGTAAAGTCTTTGCTATTACTATTATGTACTGACGTGGAAGAATGTTCATGATATAATATTGAGTGCAGGAAATATGTTGCTCTACACTATGTAATATGATTTGATTTATAAAAATTGTGTCCAGGTATGGGGATTTAGCTCAGTTGGTAGAGTGCTTGCCTCACATGCATAAGGCCCTAGGTTCAATCCCCAGCAGCGCACACACACACACACAGACACACACCACACACATCCATAAGAAAAGAAATGTAGTTTTGTTTGCATAGAAAAAGTTCTGTAAGGATACATGTTATAACTGTTAGCTGCCTCAGCACCACATAAAAATAAATAAAATAAAGGTATTGTGTCCATCTATAACTAAAAAAATATTAAAACAAACAGTCCCACTTTTTTTTTTTTTAAAATATTTATTTATTTAGTTAGTTTTTGGCGGACACAACATCTTTGTTGGTATGTGATGCTGAGGATCTAACCCTGGCTGCACGCATGCCAGGCGAGCGCGCTACCGCTTGAGCCACACCCCCAGCCCAAGTCCCTCTTTTGTAAATTTTGAAATTTTGTTCTAAAATATTGCTTCAATATTTTCTTTTTCTTTTTAAAATATGTTTTACTTGCCAATGGATTTTATTTGTTTATTTGTATGCGGTGCTGAGGATCGAACCCAGGGCCTCACACATGTCAGGCAAGTGCTCTATCACTGAGCCACAAGCCAAGTCCCAGTATTTTCTTATATGATGTTATACATGTATTTCTGAATTTAATTTTCAGAGATTTACAGATTTCATCAACAGAATATCACATGATTAGATCCAGCTTTTGTTGATGGAAAGTTGAAGTTAATCTGTGAAAAATCCCTAATAAATATATTTATTTTTCAACTAGCTTTGTGTCCTTTGGTAATATTTCTTAATTTCTAAGTGACTCCATAGGCTAGATTAGTGTTTCCAAACTCAGTTATCAAACTATGCACTGAGGTTGTTTGCTGTGAGTACCACAGTGAGTTCACATGGACACAGAAGTATATCTGAAAACTTTGAAAGGAATGTAGCAACTAACAGTTTGAGATGGTACAGTTGAGGTGGTGCTACATTTCTTTTGATGACAGTGTGTCTTCAAAAAGCCAGGTTTAGGG